TGACCCGGGTTCGATTCCCGGCCGACGCATATGTAACTTTTTTTAATTTGAGATTTTTTAAATGTACTTTCTTCTGTTATGTACTTTAACTGATTTAAAATAGTATTCATTATTTGTTTCTGAATTGTTCACCTGATAAATTATTTTCTCTTTCTTCCGCACCCAATTTACCAACAGAGAAATTCATATTCTGACATATTCCACTCCCACGGTTTTTTGATAATTTCCCAATAAATTTATGGAAATTGCTCAAATCAACGGGAATCAAAGAAGCATAACTTTTTGGTCTTCATTTCCGTTCCGATTTGACGTTTTGCATTCGAAATGTGATTGAGCGGCCAAATCAAAAGTTGGCCGCAACACAAATTATCCATTAGACGGGACATCAGCGCGGTCATAATGGGCAGTTTGGCTATTATCAATTCAAGGCGATTAAACGTTTATCGATTGACACAACATGGTTGGTGGTCCCCCCTCCTCCTTATAGCGTCTATATACATCCCCATTCTCAATCCCAATCGCGATCCCCAGCGCTGCTGTCAATGCTGTCAACATAATTAACGGCAAATGTCTGCGTACGACTGGCAGCCAAAGTCTCAGGGCCATGACAAGAAGTTATGCGACGGATTGTGAGGACGATTACGATGATGATTATGATGATACTTTCGACGAATGTGATGATGGTCGGTGGCCCAGCGCTCCCGTTGTAATTTCCCCGCATAATTACACGAAATATGTAAATGAGCGAAGGCGTCGCCAGCGCTTGACTTTGACTTTGGCTTCCGTCTTGGGAGTTCTGCACAGAAAAAAAAAATATATCTAATAGGGACTATATATTAATCTTATCTTAACAATAAAATTATTATGATATAAATTTATTGCGTATTCTTCACATGAAAATCGGAAACTTTATGACCATATGACACTCGGATCTCGGATTTATTACGAAAAGAGATGGCAGCCTTTACCATTCCCTTAAAATGAAAATAGTCCATAAATTTGAAAATATATTTTATGTTGCTGTAAGATAAAAAAAAGTATTAAGTGTTTAACACTATATCTTTTTATTTATTAAAATATCAAATTTTGTTCTGTGTGGGATTTATGTTCTGAGCTCTTCCCACTTTTATTGTTTGATTACTTATACGAAAGGTGATTACGCGCAATTAATGCATCAATGCAACGTTGGATATCTGGAATATATTGAATACTAATGATGGGCACACACACACTCCAGATAATTGCGGGCCATAAATCGCAAAGTCAGGGATGCGAAAGATTTCGAAAGGATTCAATGACTCGGGCTCGAGGGCAGCAAACTCCTATCCAAACTCCAACTGCTCGTCTAGTCGATGTCATTGGCTGCAGACGTCCTCCAGACAGACAGCCATCCCGCCCTGTGGCCATATCTCATTGTCATAACGGACAGTGCTGACAGTAAATAATCCATCAATAATTGCATCCTCCAGTTGGCCGGGATCTGCTGGGGCTCCTCGCAATTTCGAGTTTTTCCAGTTGGCCTGGATGGCGATGGCGATGGCCCTCGGCGATTTCCACTCTCGGCCATGGCCAATGCTTTATGTCAATTGTGCTGACATTAATCATGGCAGTTTTGATTGCCCGATGTCGCGTTCTGCTTAAAATTGCCCACCCAAGGGTTTGACAACTAGAAAAATCTCCTCCTAACTCTCTTTGGGTGTCCGGTGGAACTGGTTTCCCCCATAGGGGAATCGGGATCTCATCTTGATTAAACGTATAATGTCTACTCGTGGTCATTTGATTAGAGACAGCGTGGAATGTGGCCTTTATTAATCCACTTCGCTAACCGGTAGGAGTTTTGCAATTTAAACAAGCTTTTTAGGATCGTAGCTAAGGAAAATCAGGTAAGTGGTACTGAAATTTGGAAAAGCATATTTGATTTTTAACCACTTTGATAACAGGTAGAACATTTGCAATTTAAATACGATTTTAAAGATCTTATCTGAAGAACACATGGCTCTAAAACACTGACAAAATTAATATATTTCATTAAAATCAGAAGTCATCCATACAAAAAACAAATAGTAAATAAAAATTTAAATATATAATTTTATTATGTGAATATAATATATGTATTCTTGACTTTAATAATATAATAAAACTAAAATTTAAAATAGGACTTAAAATGCTATCCGTCATTTATTTTTTATGTAAGACACCAGAAGGATTTTAAAATTTGCTAGGACTTTTAAATAAACCTAATAGTGTATATCAAAGAAGTCATGAAAAAATAATAAACCTGTTGAAATACGAAGTGTATCCCCTAGTTTTCCAACTGGATTGAGATACACCCGCACTGACAGCCGCTGAAGCAGTTCGTTTATATTTGTTTATGTTAAATATTGGAGTGCATGTGGAAGCCACTGAAAGAGAAGAGTTGAGCGCCACTTGAAGCCATTTTCAGGTCAACTAATGGTGGCATTTTGGCAAGAGCAAAGGAAGCGGCCAAATGGAGGGAGAGGGGTAACAGGTAACCGAGGGGGCGGCACATGCATCAGTGGCAACAACAACAGCAATAATGCGAAGAACTTTTTACTGGGAAAGTGGATTTTCTTTTGCGCCATTTTGCGGTATTTCACGTTTCTTTGGCTCGGTTTCTCCTTCTGCTCCTCCTGGCAGTTTTGTTTGTTTGCTTTCTGCTTTGGCAAGTTATTTACGTTTTGCTACACACCGCACAGCAAACTTAACCCATGCCACCCCACCGCCAAGCCGCTCGACACAAAGTGCTGCTTTTGGCTGCGTCCAGGCGCAAAAGTGTTTGTAGCCGCCGGCAAGCTTATTTAGCCGCTCAAGAGCCTCTGCAGACTTGGGGCTCGGGGGTATCCGGGGGTTTCTGCGGGTTCTTGGGGGTTCTTTGGGGGCCTTGTGGGGGGAATCTGGGTCAGGGTTCAGACTCAAAGATTGTACCTGACATAGAAAACTTGGAGCAGAGGGTTAAGTGAGGGAAGCCAAGGAAGTGAAAGGATGTGGCCCTGTCAATCTGCTAATTTTTGAAAGTAGTTTGCGGCTGCCAAAGCCAAATCAAAGGTATGCTAAATAAATGAAATGAGCAAAAAGAGTTAGTTTCCTTACTACAAGTATTTTATACATTTTATAAAGGAGACCACCTAATACCTTTAATTATTAAAAGGGGTACGTATTATGTAAAATGTGGTTTTATCTGAACTGAAATATATCTTTTATAAGTAATGCAGATGTTTTAGAGCTCAGAAATAAACAAAAGCCTTGAAAAGATAAGGAAAATTTTGGGATAGTATTTATTTCTTCGCAGAAAAAAAAGTAGTATCTCTAGTATTTAGATAAAATATTTTGTTTATATATTATTGTTACCATTTTAATAATAATTATTTCTAAAAATACATGTGCTCTCTGAACTATGAAAATATAATCCCCAACTAAATAATCGTCCTCTAACATTCACTTAAATCCACGATTCCTGGCCGCATTCATAGATGGTTTCTGCGACGGCCACAATTCGCAAATGCCAAAACGTAATCCGAGCGGCGAACAATATTCAGTGACAACCGAACTACAACACCAGCAATCAAATCAGCCAATCAACTGTCGATTACTTAAGCCAGTTTCAATCAACACGGCCAAAACCAAACCCAAACTGGCCAACACACACACTCGCGCATCCACATACGGGCAGATAGGTACACAAATACAGATGCACAGCCATCGAATTACAAATCTCAAACGCACAATAAACGCAATTACTCGGGTGTGCGAGTGAGAGGACGGAGGGAGTGAGCGGGACGGGGAGAAGGCGGACCGCAGGCCAAAATAACGTGGGCCAAAAGGAAATCGAAAGGCCGGGCGCCAACAACTAACCATTCGCTGGGCTTCATCAATCAATCAGCAGTCAATACATATGGCCAACATGATTGAAGTCAATTGCGAGAAAAACAGCATTTTTGATAAGTGGAAAGGGGCTGGGGAAATGGGAGCTATATTATCGTGGGCCCATTTCCAATCAGCCGTAGATTACTTACACCAAAAACTATGCGTAGTATTTGACAGGGACTGCCAAAATTAACATAAGTACAACATAATCATACGCAGAAATAGTGTGTGTAAGCTAAGTCAATAATTCTTTATTTTATTTGGGCAGATGGTAGTTATTAACTCTATTTTGTCAAGTAGAAATTAGAATTTTTTTGATATTGTATTGTTTTTACCTCTGTAAAGCCAATTTTGTATTAATTTCAAATTTTTACCGATGATACGAGGCCAATTGGGAGGTGTTTTCTCCCCCTTTTCCCAAACGATTGAAACAAAAGTTTCGTTTCCATCAGATATTCTCGCCCACACATCCACATCGCCGCACATACACAATCGAGAAAGCAAACAAACACCCATAAATTTATATAGACAAAGTTCGATGCATAACAAATGTCGTATCTTATGCGTTTGTCTGGCAGATATCTTGCTTGTTGACATTGTATAAATAGGATAAATACTTGCAAATTGTTTGTAGTAAATAAATCAAAATTTATTTGAGCCATTCCGGCATGTAATGTATCTGGGGAGGTGTAAACTCCTTGGTTGGTAATTCATGGATTGAATGGCCTGCATTTGGAAAATGCCTTTTGTATGGGTTTGTCACATGCTGAAATTGTATTTTGGTAAACAAATTTACTAATTTTAGATCTGCAAAGCCTTTTATAGACCCTAGTCACTAAGACAGATGCAATAGCTAAACAGAAAGTTAATTATCTTTTCTAAAAATGGAACATCTGTTTTTATACGCTATCTTTTGTACAGAATTTCACCTAAAAGCTTTAATTGTCAATCGAATGTTTTACCATTTTTGAAGACTTCAGCTGTGCACTATCTTTTTTACACTCCTGTTTAACAGCTTTGAAATACTAAAAGTTCCTATGACTCAGGTATATTCGCAAGACAGATTTGTAAAGAAACATTTGTGGAGGGTAGCTTTCAGTCATGAATAAGTTCTGTTCGGAGCATGTTGGCGCAAAGTTGTTGCCTTCAACTTCTGATCCTCCTCCTGCTATTAAGGTTACCCCCCAGTGTCCAGCAAAAGTCCCGAAAATATTACTGGAATCTGAAAATGAGGGAGAGGAAGTTTAAAATGTTTGGAACCAGAAAGACTCAGATACAACCGCTGTTGATCAGTACGTGGAACTATACGGATGCCAATTTGCAGGCGTGGAGTGTTTTGCAGCAAGGATCTCGAAGGACTCGTCAGGCGGTGATCCAGGGATGTTTGGCCTGTCAAAGCCAGCGATGTGGCCGCCTTTTGGCCGGGGGAGCTTCTCCAGATGCGAATGGAACTTTGACCCTGGAAGCTGCCATCATGGATGGCTCAACCTTGAGATACGGTGCAGTTGCTGGAATGGAAGGAGTTCGCAATGCCATCCTCGTAGCAGATGCGGTTATAAGGTACACAAAACACTCCCTTTTGGTGGGCAAGAGCGCTACGAAATTTGCCAGATCCATGGGCTACAAGGAGGACTACCCTGAGAGTAAAGGCACCCAGAAGGTGTTGAAAAAATGGAACTTAAACGCCTGTCAACCGAATTTCTGGCGTGATGTGAACCCTTCTCCCATGGAAAACTGTGGTCCATACACACCTTTACCCCAACACCTGATGAAGCAACCATTGCACCCGGAATATCCCATCGTACTGGGTCAACATGATCAGCTGGCCATTTTGGCCCTGGACGCCGAGGGTCAATTCCATGTGGCCAGCCAATCGAGTGGCGCCCCCTTTCGGATCCCCGGAAGGGTGGGGGATTCGGCGGTGCCAGGTGCCGGGATTTATGCGGATAATGAGGTGGGTGCCGCGGTGGCCAGTGGCGATGGAGATGTCCTCATGCGCCACCTGCCCGCCTTCCTGGCCGTCGAGGCGATGAGAGGGGGTCAAAGGCCGGACAAGGCCGCCGAGGGGGTGGTGCAACGCCTGCTGAGACATAATACCGAGTTCAATGGGGCCGTGGTGGTGGTCAATCGAAGGGGCATCTATGCCGCCGCCTGCGCAGGAATCGACGAGTTCCATTTCGTGGTCAGTGGGGGCAAGGAGTATCTCAGCATGGCCCGGGTGGAGCGGATCAAGTGTCTGGAGAGGGAAACTGAGATCGTTGATGGCGGGCCCAAGGGACTGTTTCGTAGGAACCCCGAAAAGCAGGTGGTGCACAGGGCAGGGAATAAGTTTAGTTAGATAAGAGGGTTATAGGGTCTTTGGGGTCTTAGGTGTCCCAGAAACTGGTTTTAATTGTCTTTACATTAAAAAATTACATTAGTAAGACGTTCTTAACTTTTTCTCAAGGGGATTATGTAAGCTTGAATATTATTAGAAATATCCTTGCTTTACATGTGTTCTGTCATTATGTGCATTATCAAACAAAAACGTACAAATCAAATTATAAACACATAGATCTATAGAAATTACTTATCAAATTAACCTTAAATTTCTAAAGCTATTATTTGTATTGTCCTTTAAAATATTTTTATATGTAAGTTGATCTATACCTGTTGTACCTAAACTTTATCTTCAGTTTGTCTTGCTTTCCATTTTTATTTACATTCCAGTGGATTTTCCTACATCTGCAAAAATATTGACCCACTCTGGTTTTCCTTTGTGTCATTTGCCTTTCCCTATTACCAATGCTAAAAACTTTTCCTTGCCCACAAAGTAAGCTCCCAATTTTGGTGTAACGATTTCAGTTTTCCCGCTTTCCTACACTTTTATTTTCCCTCACGCATTTTTATCCCCAATTCATCTGCTTTGCATATTTCTTTGTTATGTTTGTATTATTTTCCCTTCCTTTTCCATTTCGGGGCTTTTCCGCCCTTACATTCTTTGGATTGTGTAACGTAATCCCCTCGTGTCGGTTGTAAGGGAAAATCTGCTGTAAATGTAAGCAAATAAGTACAGCTGTGCTTTAATTTGCCTGGCCAACAAAGTTTGACCTCAGCATTAAAGTCCTCTTAATAATTTTTCGCCTTTACTTTGTAAACAGTATTATTATACTTAACTGATAGATTTAATTAGAGAATAACTGCTAGAAATATGAAACCATAAATAAATGTTGGACTGAGGAAGTCAAAGTCAAATTAAAAGCACAAATGTCTTACTCGTTCGTATCTTTTGCACACTTAGATTATAATGCAGTGGGTCATAAAATTGATTGCCATAAGTCACACCGATCCAAACTGATAAGTTCCAAATAACCAAAGGACAAATAAATTATCAAGTGACCGACTATGGGCAATTTAAAAGCCTCCAACATTTAAGACAAGAAAACCACAGAAAATAACAATAAATAAAATCAAAACTTTTGCTAATAAATAATTGGTAATTAGAAAGTATAATGAGGAGCATGAGTCACTGAAAAAAAAATCCAAAATCGTTAGTTTACATTTTCATCAGATAAGATTCTTCAATGGCCAAGCAAACAAGTCGTATATTCCGTGATATAAGTCCGGTAAGAATTACTAATCTATAGGGAAACATCTTGAAATTGCTTAGCACAACAAATACTGCATTGTAGTTTCTTTATCAGTCTCTTGACTGATTAATGCGAATTTTCTCAAGTGTCGCAGAACAATTGTGGATTTTTTCGATTTTTTCCAAATTAGTTGCAGCTTAGTTTCAGTTCGGTTTGGTCGCCCAAAGGTGTTGGAGGCTCAAAGAAAATGTTGCAATCGAGAAAGGTTTTTATTTTGCTGGCTTGTGTGCTGGCTTTTCAAGAGATTTCAGGAGAAATTTCAGCTGGAGTGCAGAATGCAGTCGATCTGCCCAAATGTTTTAGCTGCGAGGGCGTTAATTGTTTGAGAACAACCCGCCAGAATGCCACGGTTAGCTGTTCTGATAAGTTGGATGTTTGCGTTACCATTTATGAGGATTGTAAGTTTAAGTCTGTAAAATAATAAAAAATATATTTAACGAATATCTCTATAGATGCTGTGAGTGAGCGGGGCTGTTTCTCCCAGATTTCTTTGGCTGGTCAGGCAAAATGTGCGGCCAAGGACGACCAATGTCAAAAGTGCAGTGGTCAATTGTGCAATAACCAGGGACGCAGGGACTTCAGGTGCATTCAATGCACTGGTTCTGATGTAAGTACAAAGTATTTTATATATAAAACATATCAATATATTTATAATTTGTTTTCTCCCTAGTCGGCTTCCTGTAACCAGGGCTCCACCGCCTCACTAACCGCCTCCCAATGTGGACTCCCCACATCGGCTAATTCCTACTGCTATGTCAAGGTCGTCGGCGATATGAAGGATAATCTGCAAAGAGGTTGTGCTCTGTCTGTGAAGGAACAAAAATCCTGTCTGGAGGACTCCGAATGCTCCCTCTGCCTGCCGGATAACTCCAGTGATTCTGTGGCGTGCAACAATTTTGATCTGCCATTGGTCTCCAAATCGGGTGCTGACCAAAGTCAAAAATTCACAAGTTTGAGCTTTGCTTTCCTTGCCTTGCTCTTGCTCAAAATGATGAACTAAGTTTTAAATAAATAAACAAAAATAAAATAAATAATCGCTTCTTTGTCAAATGTTTTGTTTTTTTCTAGCTTATCGGCTTTTTGGATTGCTTTAGTTTTATTGCGTCAATTAACTAGCATGTGATTCCTTGATTCCTGGAATAATTCCACAGTTCAATCAGAGGGGAATTCTTTAGCTGACAGTTTATTTTTTAGCGACCACTTCAATGAGGCTGCAATATACAGTCCGGGTGGGAACTTTAGAGCCAACATTGAAAATAGTTTAATTTTGTGAAAAAATATAACTGACTGGTCTTAAAAGTAAAGGCAAACTAAATATGATGAAAAAAAAGATTTATAGATTGTGGCTAAGCTGCAAATGTAAATCAGGGTTCGGCAGCGTTCCATTAAGCGGGAAAAGGGAATAGCTCTGTTCAGCCTCTGCCGACCCACTTACAGAATACAACAGCACTCCTCACATACATATCGATAAGCTGCCCCGTGCAAATTACTGACACAAATTAATTTTAAAATGTTTTGCCTTAAAGCTGTGATTCGATTTTTAGGCAAGACTTAGTAAATATAAGAAAAGAAAAATAAGAAATTTTTTTCCTATCAAACCTACAGATGGTTGATCTAAGGACTTTTAGGCATGACCTACTTATAATAGTCATTTAATTTTAAATATATGACTAACTACACAATTAATTAAATGAATTATTTAAAGGATATTCTGTGCAAAAATACACATATAATTTTAAGATTGATCAAGTGGACCTCGTATCGGTATATCTTTCAGTCGACTTTTATATGTCTTTTACTTTGGTATTTAATAAGTTATTTCCGGTTTCGAAAAAATCCCGGTAAGCTTAAATACACAAGTAGATGAGTATTTTACCTATAGATATACATATTCGGCTATCCATTGCTGTCGGTTCTTCATAGAACACTCTCAAGTGTTTGGCCATTTCCATGGACGAACGCACATACTGACAGAAACCGCTCTTGAGGACACTTCAGTGGGGCATTTGAAGTGGTCGGTGGTATAAAAGCCAATCGCATTGGCCAATTGCCCGACAGTCGAAGCGAAAAAATGAAGGCCCAAACAATTGCGAAGGTGGTGAGTGCGGTGGTGCTGGTGGTTCTGGTGGGTCAAGCAGCTGGAAACACAGCAGTCAGCTGCCACAGTTGCGAAGGAGCCAATTGCCAGAGGGTTCAGCTCACTAAAACTCAGTCCTGTGTGGATTCCTTGGACTACTGTGTGACCATCTTTGAAGAAGGTGGGTTTGAAGGGACAATAAAAATATCAAATCATTTTGAAAAATATTTCTTAAAAATTCCAGCTAAGGTTCTGTTCAAGGGTTGCTCCCTAGAAATTCCCTATGAGCTGCGTTCCAAATGTCAGGATAATCGCTCTTGTTACAAGTGCAACACCAAGGAATGCAACAATGTGGGTTCGGCCAAATATGCCTGCATTCAGTGTGATTCCAGCAAGGTAAGTTGAATGTTGTTATATCTGAAACCATATGAAATTCTTAAATTTAAAAACCTCTCTTAGGACTCCGATTGCGCTTCGAATGCCGCCGTTTTGGAAGCTGCCCGCTGCAGAGCCCCAACTGCTCCAAATTCGTATTGCTATGTTAAGTCCTCGGGTGGATCTATTGTGAGGGGCTGCTCCACCACCGAAACTGATCAGCAGACTTGTCTGAATGATGCCAACTGCCTGTTGTGCTCACCTGGAGATATTAGGAACTGCAATGCTGCCAATATCGCCGAGAGCTCTGGTGTTGGAAATCGCTTCATTCGTTTCCTAAGATAATTGTCATATTGTATCTGGAATAAAAATCAAATTTGTAAAAAAACTTATGAATAAAATAGCTAAATATATACCTTTTACAAAAAAAATTATAAAGTAATGTATCTCATTCTGATTAAAACAACTATATTGAATAATATTGTTGTGTATGTCGCTTGTTTTTTCTTATAACACTTTAACGGAATATAATCGCTAATATTTGAAGACTGATAGCGTCACGAGGGGAAGCCTCAAAATTAGGAAATATTTACTTTTTAGTAAGTTTCTTTCTTATAATTATTATAAAAAACTTGTATAGATGGAACTATGACTACCTTAAAATGTTATGGATATATTATTATCTTTACAAGCAGTTAGAATAGATAAGTATTTGATGTTTTTTAAAATGTATCAAGGTATTTAACATTCAGTGTGATTCTCAATGACGCGCATTGGTGAATCACGCAGTCCGATAATACCGATGTTGATCAAAAACAACAGCCTTCAATAGGAGTCACTTCAAATTATCTTCAAGACATTTGATCTAATTCGTTGTCTAATCTAGGTAGATAACCGATTAAAAGCAAAAAATTCCATTACCGATGTAAACTTGTTTATTTACTTTTGACTAAGGAACTACTTTAAAGGGTGCCCCACAAAAACTCGGGCACTTGAGGCCCATGAGGCTTAAGGAACCCCACAAAGAAAACAGAGTTGTTTATGCAATTTCTGAAGAGATGGAGGACAATCACTTAACGAGCTTACACACTTCAGTTGGCTATCTATAAAGAAATATCAGAAACATCCTCTTAAGTGACCAGAATTTATATAAAGCAATGGTTAGCTGGTGACAGCTTTTCAATGCTAAATGTTCTTTGCACAATGTCAAACTTGAATTTCTCTCAACTCCTGCTGGCACTGCTTTTAACCAGCAGTTATGTATTGGCATCGGAAAAATGTATTTATTGTCGGGGCATTAATTGCCAAAGGACTAGTTACGAGGCGGATGATCAGTGTTCGGATAAATTGGATGCCTGTGTGAGTGTTTTTCAAGATGGATTTATTCAGGCTCAAGGATGTTTGGAAGGTCTAGAGGATGATTTAAGAGAAAAATGTCAGGAGGATAATAAGGTACATGGAACTGACTGCGAGGTCTGTATAACGGAAAAGTGCAACAAGGTGGCGCCAAAAACATACAGCTGTCTTCAGTGTAATAGCGCAGAGGTAGTTGTTCGAATAATAAAATATTGAGCCAAAAACCTAATAACTTTAAAATAATATTTTTCCCCAAGGACATTCAATGTGCTGAATCTCCAGAGCTTCTGAAAGCTATAGAATGCCTTATTCCGAGATCTGGTAGAGGCTTTTGCTTTGCCAGTTTGGAGGGAGATCTTTTGGAAAGAGGATGTTCTTTGACCCTTTCAGATCAAGTAAATTGCCTGGCCAATCCAAATTGTCACTTGTGCGATCCCTTAGAACAACCCCGATGCAATGATCAACTTATAAAAGCTGATGATTCCTCAACCACTGAAGACCCAGCGGAATCCACTAGTTCATCAACTGAGTCTACACCTAGTTCAACAATAACAACAGAATCAACATCGAGTTCTTCAACAAGTTCATCCACAAGTTCTTCCACAAGTTCTTCTACGAGTTCCTCCACAAGTTCTTCTACAAGTTCTTCAACAAGTTCATCCACAAGTTCTTCTACAAGTTCTTCAACAAGTTCATCCACAAAATCACCAGAAACTACCCAATCAACCACAGAAACTTCGACAACCGAGGAGATCCAAACAACAACGGAAACACCCAGTTCGGCATTTGGTTTACGTGCTTCCATGTTCCTAATATTTACTCAATTGGCTTTTTGTGTTCACAACGTACTTGAATAATACAAATAATACCTAAAAAATTTCCACCACCTTGTCCGGAACGTAATCTATGTACGACTATTATTAAAGTAATTTTTATGACGCGATCATACATTTTTTCCTATTTGTTCCTAATATTTAATCAATTGGCTTTTTGTGCTTACAACGTACTTCAATAATACAAATAATACCTAAAAAATTCCCACCACCTTGTCCGGAACGGAATCTATGTACGACTATTATTAAAGAAATTTTTATGACGCGATCATAAATTTGTTCCTATTTGTTCCTAATATTTAATCAATTGGCTTTTTGTGCTCACAACGTACTTCAATAATACAAATAATACCTAAAAAATTCCCACAATTAAAAGATTAAGTTCTTATGAAAAGCCTTTAGCACTATCTGGGCCTTTCCAAACAGAACTATGTGATTTACAATCGCGCAATATTAATGCGCCATCTGGTTGTTAGATTTTGTAACTATCGATTAACGAATAAGGCTATCGATTTTTGAAGCTTTAAGCCTTTTCTCCTTCGCAGATAGTTATCTGAGTGCAGTGGTGATAAGGAACTACGAAGCTGAATGCAATTGAAATTCAAAACGTTTTTGCTGGCAATGCGATTCGATGGCCTCCATTTGACAGCATTTTATGGCCAGGATCCTCTAATCAGCCAACATATATTTTGGCTGTCCATCGTGGAAAATCTTATCGAGAGGTGTAAACATGTTTACTACTAAATTTTCGCCTGATTATGGTCGGCTTATCTGAATAGTTCTTGTTGCTTTTTATGTTAACTCCCCTCAATCGGCTATAAATAACGATGCTTTATTGGCCATATAGCTATGGCAACAGCGCCTACAATATAATCGCCTTGGGCCCCTAATATAGAGCAATAATCAAACGAGCGCGACCCATCGATAGATCGATTGCCCCAAGCTTGTCGCCAGTCGAAAATGTATAAAAGGCCTTACTTCACCCAGCTAACAATTAGTTGCCGGAATCCATTTTTGTGGCTAATACGGAAATACGCGAGTCGCCGTTTTGAAGTGAACCTTAAACGATCATGAAATCAACGGCAGCAGGAGTAGCCCTGCTACTTCTAGTGCTAAGTCACTCAAGTGGTAGGTTTTGACCAAGTCAAGGATTAAGGATAATGAAAAGTGAAAGTTAACTAACTAACACCCCGAAAAGTGCGACAAATAACCAGAAAACATAGAAGATACTGAAAAGTTCAATGAAAACTTTCCAAGTTATAGAAATAAGAAAAAATTTTTTTTAAACAAAGAACAAAATAATTGTATGTCCGTCAATCGCGCCGTCATTTATGACTCATACACATGCTTTTATATTGGCTATATGAAACCATTATCTATTATCAATAAAACAAAAAAGCACTTCACCATGAGACATAAGCGTGTAACTAATATTGATTGTAAGATGCGAGACATTTTCAAAGTACAAATTTTGTAATCATACTACTTTTCGTTTGATAATCAAGTTGGGCAATTCCTGCAATACCAATCAAAATTTTCAAGTGTCTTGGAAATCCTCCATACTTGATTTATATGGATATGATTACGGGAAAAGATCGCGTCGATGAGGTAACGGCAGCCATCGGACATCGGTAGTCATAAACAAGGCGAAATTCGATTACCCCACGGCCCATAAACTATTTTATAAGTAACAAGCGTATTTTTAAACAAGAATTTTACTTGCCTTCGCGAAATGAATTAAAATTTCATTCATTCAAAATGATATTACAGTTTTTCTTATCATCTCTTGTATAGCCAAGGAGATCACTCAGACCTGCTGGAAATGCTCTGGAGCGGATTGCGATGATCCTGTGTCTAGTCTCTGCAGCCAGTACAGTCCCGATGATGGTTGCTATACCTTGTTTAACTATTATACCAATGTTACGGCCATGGGATGTCAGTCCGATCTGGACGAAGAGTTTGTGGATGATTATTTCCACTCCCTTTTATTCTGCAACGAGAGTAATTGCAACTCCTTGGATAACCTGCCAGTTCCGCACAAGTGCCTCTTCTGCGATTCTTCAGAGGATCCCAACTGCGCTACAGATCCTTCAAAGATCGAGCTAATAGGAAACTGTGGTGTCTTACCCTACTCCAGCTGTCAGACCCGAATTAGTATTGGTAGTATAAGGAAAGATATCCTTGAATGAAATATTGTAATTTGTTTAATCCCTCCACAGAAGGCTGGACCCAACGTAGTTGTCTAAGCAGCTTAGAACGAGATGAACTGGAGGAGTGCCTCGCTGGAACTGGAAACTGTACGGTTTGCACTGGCGATTACTGCAACAGGGAAATATATCCCGCCGATCGTTAAAAGTCGCCCTTGCAACTAGAAAATCGCCCATCAATTTTGAAAATCGGTGGCCTAGCGGTCTAATGCGTTGAAGCCCACGAAGAGTCAACATTTATTTTTCTTTTTTGTGAAATTTTTTATAACTGAATTCTTAACAATTTTGTGTGCAGAGGCAAAAAAAATTTAGAACACGTCAAAATAACAAATAAAAAAAATGCATATTACATTAAAATAATATTTTTTTAATGTATTTAGTCTAATTGGGTAAAAAAAAACATAATTTGTTGTCGTTAGTGAGAATATTTCTTTGAATTAAATTGAGAATTTGTTCTTGGAAGAAATTGAGATATGCACCCTTTTTGCGCGTCGCCTAGCGCGATGCGTCTTTGGTGCAGCGGTTGTGCTCTCGACTGCGAACCCAGCGGTCGTGAGTTCGATTCTCGCTACGACCACGAAGATTTTTGAAGACAATACTGCGATGAGAACTCAGGCAACTGCAAGTTCTGCAAGTCTTCGGGATGTAACACCGCCAAGGAACTAAGTGCATATGTGGACTGTCTGTTTTGTGATGGCAGCGATCAGGCAGAATGCGTGAGGAGTGTTGGAGATATATCCCGTACATTATCCTGCCACGGTAGCTGCTTCACCGGTCTATATCCCCGCAATCAGTCAGACTCAAATCCCGTTTACGATCTGGCCTGCGGATGTTTGGATGAACTCGAGTACGACGATCGCGAGGCCTGCGCAGCCGGAACTTTGGCAAACTGTGTTTCATGTTCGGGCGCCAGTTGCAACACTGCTGATGTGCCAGAGAATCGACTCAGCTGCAACGTCTGTCAGGATGCGGAGTGTGAAACGACTGTCAGCACAAAGTTTGTTTGGGTTATCGTTCCGGAGAACAGTGCTACATTCAAGTGGGCGATCGCAGTGTCACGGCCATGGGTTGTGCCACCGATCTGGAGGATTCATACCTGTTGACCAACCGCAGGGATGTGTATCTTTGCTCTGGCAACGATTGCAACACCAAGGATAAACTGAACACGGTCGGCGTTTCCTGTAATATCTGCAATTCCACCTATGATGACGGTTGTGTAAGCACTGGTGGGTCTTCGCCAGCTGTCTGCGAGCATAACATCAATCCCGAGTGCTACAGCTACCTTAATGAAGGTGGGTGCGCTTATAAGATTTAATTCAAATGTATTTATTCAACGAGATACTTTTCACCTTTAATAATTTTCAGACGGCGTTTTGGAGCGTGGCTGTCTCATGGACACCGATGATGACCTCTTCGATGAATGCTTGAGCTCTGGAAGCTCCAACTGCACCATTTGCAGCACGAATGGTTGCAACAACGAGATCTATCCCTCGGACTGGCTAGCCAGTCTGCGTTGCGATTCCGCCAACGATGCGGACTGTGCCCTGAGTCCCAATAGCTATTCGGGCCTATTCGAAGGACGATCCCTGTGTGACTTCCTTGACCAACGGTCGAACTCTTCGTGGCTGCCAATCGGAACTGAGTTGCGATGAATCCCAGGCGGGAAGCTGCAGGATTTGCTCTGGAGCCAACTGCAATGGTGTGGATCTGCAGTCGGGTTACGTGGGTGAGCCAGGAAAGTGGACGGATCTTCCATTGAGCTGTTATGTTTGTGAAGACGCCGCCAGTTGTGCCTCTGTCACGGAAGCCACCAAGTGTAAGGGTAACAACAAGCAGACCTGCTCCACGGTCTTCAATTCTGCGGGTCAGGTGGTGGCCAGAGGATGCACCACCGAAACTGATGAGCAGACTTGTCTGAATGATGCCAACTGCCTGTTGTGCTCACCTGGTGATATTAGGAACTGCAATGCTGCTAACATCTCCGATAGCTCTAGTGTTGGAAATCGCTTCATTCGTTTCCTAAGATAACTGTTATATTGTAACTGGAATGAAAGTCAAATTTGTAAAATATCTAATAAATAAAATAACAAAATAAATGAATAAAAAGTGTATTTAAGCCCCGATTTAACTTTAACAAAAAAACTTTTGAGGTAATTTATCTCACTCTGATTAAAATGAAATAATATTGTTGTGTATGTCACTGGTTTTTTCTTATAACACTTTATCGGAATATAATCGCTAATATTTGAAGACTGATAGCGTTGAGAGGGGAAGCCTTAAAATTAGGAAATATTTCCTCCTTAGTTAGTTTATTTCTTATTATTATTATAAAAATCTTGTATAGATTAATGTTTGAAGTTTTTTAAAATGTATCAAGATATTTAACATTCAGTGTGATTCTCAATGAAGCGCATTGGTGAATCATCCGCAGTCTACATATAATACCGATGATGATCAAAAACAGCCTTCAATAGGAGTCTCTTCAAATTATCTTCAAGACATTTGATCTAATTCGTTGTCTAATCTAGGTAGATAACCGATTAAAAGCAAAAAATTCCATTAACGATGAAAACTTGATTATTTACTTTTGACTGAGATACTACATTAAAGAGTGCCATGGGGCTTAAGGAACCCCACAAAGAAAACAGAGTTGTTTATGCAATTTCTGAAGAGATGGAGGACAATCACTTAACGAGCTTACACACTTCAGTTGGCTATCTATAAAGAAATATCAGAAACATCCTCTTAAAAGACCAGAATTTATATGAAGCGATGGTTAGCTGGTGACAGCTTTTCAATGCTAAATGTTCTTTGCACAATGTCAAACTTGAATTTCTCTCAACTCCTGCTGGCACTGCTTTTAACCAGCAGTTATGTATTGGCATCGGAAAAATGTATTTATTGTCGGGGCATTAATTGCCAAAGGACTAGTTACGAGGCGGATGATCAGTGTTCGGATAAATTGGATGCCTGTGTGAGTGTTTTTCAAGATGGATTTATTCAGGCTCAAGGATGTTTGGAAGGTCTAGAGGATGATTTAAGAGAAAAATGTCAGGAGGATAATAAGGTACATGGAACTGACTGCGAGGTCTGTATAACGGAAAAGTGCAACAAGGTGGCGCCAAAAACATACAGCTGTCTTCAGTGTAATAGCGCAGAGGTAGTTGTTCGAATAATAAAATATTGAGCCAAAAACCTAATAACTTTAAAATAATATTTTTCCCCAAGGACATTCAATGTGCTGAATCTCCAGAGCTTCTGAAAGCTATAGAATGCCTTATTCCGAGATCTGGTAATATTTACTCAATTGGCTTTTTGTGTTCACAACGTACTTCAATAATACAAATAATACCTAAAAAATTTCCACCGCCTTGTCCGGAACGGAATCTATGTACGACTATTATTAAAGTAATTTTTATGACGCGATCATACATTTTTTCCTACTTGTTCCTAATATTTAATCAATGGGCTTTTTGTGCTCACAACGTACTTCAATAACACAAATAATACCTAAAAAATTCCCACCACCTTGTCCGGAACGGAATCTATGTACGACTATTATTAAAGTAATTTTTATGACGCGATCATAAATTTTTTCCTATTTGTTCCTAATATTTAATCAATTGGCTTTTTGTGCTCACAACGTACCTCAACAATACAAATAATACCTAAAAAATTCCCACCACCTTGTCCGGAACGGAATCTATGTACGACTATTATTAAAGTAATTTTTATGACACGATCATAAATTATTTGTCACGAATAATTGCAACCTTTTGGGTTTAGTGCTTGGGCAAAAAATTCGGTGCAGGGTTTGTTATGTCACCGAATAAAGATTGATAAGCCACGATTATTTGACTAAAATCGACCAGCCCTCTGAAAAGCCTCTTTATATAACCATCACCAAACTTTTTAATAATGGTTTACAATCGTAAAAAAATTTCTACTTTAGAACCAAAGTGACTTATATATTTTCTATTCTTAGTTATCTGAGATTTCTTATTTAGATTTAAGGAAGACAAGTTTAGAGTGTTCCCTTTTCGTAGCAATATGAGCAATAAAGATTTACAACGAAAAAGACTTTAATCTTGTTGAATCACTTTCGCTATGATTCATTTGAGGTATTTATTTATTTACTTATTACTACTCATTTAGGGTTGATTTTATGATATTATTAAATGTCTAGCCTAAAGTCGACTAGGGTCAATAAAAGTAAGCAATAGGCGTTAAAAGATTAAGTTCTTATAAAAAGCCTTTAGCACTATCTGGGCCTTTCCAAACAGAACTATGTGATTTACAATCGCGCAATATTAATGCGCCATCTGGTTGTTAGATTTTGTAACTATCGATTAACGAATAAGGCTATCGACTTTTGAAGCTTTAAGCCTTTTCTCCTTCGCAGATAGTTATCTGAGTGCAGTGGTGATAAGGAACTACGAAGCTGAATGCAATTGAAATTCAAAACGTTTTTGCTGGCAATGCGATTCGATGGCCTCCATTTGACAGCATTTTATGGCCAGGATCCTCTAATCAGCCAACATATATTTTGGCTGTCCATCGTGGAAAATCTTATCGAGAGGTGTAAACATGTTTACTACTAAATTTTCGCCTGATTATGGTCGGCTTATCTGAATAGTTCTTGTTGCTTTTTATGTTAACTCCCCTCAATCGGCTATAAATAACGATGCTTTATTGGCCATATAGCTATGGCAACAGCGCCTACAATATAATCGCCTTGGGCCCCTAATATAGAGCAATAATCAAACGAGCGCGACCCATCGATAGATCGATTGCCCCAAGCTTGTCGCCAGTCGAAAATGTATAAAAGGCCTTACTTCACCCAGCTAACAATTAGTTGCCGGAATCCATTTTTGTGGCTAATACGGAAATACGCGAGTCGCCGTTTTGAAGTGAACCTTAAACGATCATGAAATCAACGGCAGCAGGAGTAGCCCTGCTACTTCTAGTGCTAAGTCACTCAAGTGGTAGGTTTTGACCAAGTCAAGGATTAAGGATAATGAAAAGTGAAAGTGAAAGTTAACTAACTAACACCCCGAAAAGTGCGACAAATAACCAGAAAACATAGAAGATACTGAAAAGTTCAATGAAAACTTTCCAAGTTATAGAAATAAGAAAAAAATTTTTTAAACAAAGAACAAAATAATTGTATGTCCGTCAACCGCGCCGTCATTTATGGTACACATGCTTTTATATGGGCTATATGAAACCATTATCTATTATCAATAAAACAAAAAAGGCCTTCACCATGAGACATAAGCGTGTTACTAATATTGATTGTAAGATGCGAGACATTTTCAAAGTACAAATTTTGTAATCATACTACTTTTCGTTTGATAATCAAGTTGGGCAATTCCTGCAATACCAATCAAAATTTTCAAGTGTCTTGGAAATCCTCCATACTTGATTTATATGGATATGATTACGGGAAAAGATCGCGTCGATGAGGTAACGGCAGCCATCGGACATCGGTAGTCATAAACAAGGCGAAATTCGATTACCCCACGGCCCATAAACTATTTTATAAGTAACAAGCGTATTTTTAAACAAGAATTTTACTTGCCTTCGCGAAATGAATTAAAATTTCATTCATTCAAAATGATATTACAGTTTTTCTTATCATCTCTTGTATAGCCAAGGAGATCACTCAGACCTGCTGGAAATGCTCTGGAGCGGATTGCGATGATCCTGTGTCTAGTCTCTGCAGCCAGTACAGTCCCGATGATGGTTGCTATACCTTGTTTAACTATTATACCAATGTTACGGCCATGGGATGTCAGTCCGATCTGGACGAAGAGTTTGTGGATGATTATTTCCACTCCCTTTTATTCTGCAACGAGAGTAATTGCAACTCCTTGGATAACCTGCCAGTTCCGCACAAGTGCCTCTTCTGCGATTCTTCAGAGGATCCCAACTGCGCTACAGATCCTTCAAAGATCGAGCTAATAGGAAACTGTGGTGTCTTACCCTACTCCAGCTGTCAGACCCGAATTAGTATTGGTAGTATAAGGAAAGATATCCTTGAATGAAATATTGTAATTTGTTTAATCCCTCCACAGAAGGCTGGACCCAACGTAGTTGTCTAAGCAGCTTAGAACGAGATGAACTGGAGGAGTGCCTCGCTGGAACTGGAAACTGTACGGTTTGCACTGGCGATTACTGCAACAGGGAAATATATCCCGCCGATCGTTAAAAGTCGCCCTTGCAACTAGAAAATCGCCCATCAATTTTGAAAATCGGTGGCCTAGCGGTCTAATGCGTTGAAGCCCACGAAGAGTCAACATTTATTTTTCTTTTTTGTGAAATTTTTTATAACTGAATTCTTAACAATTTTGTGTGCAGAGGCAAAAAAAATTTAGAACACGTCAAAATAACAAATAAAAAAAATGCATATTACATTAAAATAATATTTTTTTAATGTATTTAGTCTAATTGGGTAAAAAAAAACATAATTTGTTGTCGTTAGTGAGAATATTTCTTTGAATTAAATTGAGAATTTGTTCTTGGAAGAAATTGAGATATGCACCCTTTTTGCGCGTCGCCTAGCGCGATGCGTCTTTGGTGCAGCGGTTGTGCTCTCGACTGCGAACCCAGCGGTCGTGAGTTCGATTCTCGCTACGACCACGAAGATTTTTGAAGACAATACTGCGATGAGAACTCAGGCAACTGCAAGTTCTGCAAGTCTTCGGGATGTAACACCGCCAAGGAACTAAGTGCATATGTGGACTGTCTGTTTTGTGATGGCAGCGATCAGGCAGAATGCGTGAGGAGTGTTGGAGATATATCCCGTACATTATCCTGCCACGGTAGCTGCTTCACCGGTCTATATCCCCGCAATCAGTCAGACTCAAATCCCGTTTACGATCTGGCCTGCGGATGTTTGGATGAACTCGAGTACGACGATCGCGAGGCCTGCGCAGCCGGAACTTTGGCAAACTGTGTTTCATGTTCGGGCGCCAGTTGCAACACTGCTGATGTGCCAGAGAATCGACTCAGCTGCAACGTCTGTCAGGATGCGGAGTGTGAAACGACTGTCAGCACAAAGTTTGTTTGGGTTATCGTTCCGGAGAACAGTGCTACATTCAAGTGGGCGATCGCAGTGTCACGGCCATGGGTTGTGCCACCGATCTGGAGGATTCATACCTGTTGACCAACCGCAGGGATGTGTATCTTTGCTCTGGCAACGATTGCAACACCAAGGATAAACTGAACACGGTCGGCGTTTCCTGTAATATCTGCAATTCCACCTATGATGACGGTTGTGTAAGCACTGGTGGGTCTTCGCCAGCTGTCTGCGAGCATAACATCAATCCCGAGTGCTACAGCTACCTTAATGAAGGTGGGTGCGCTTATAAGATTTAATTCAAATGTATTTATTCAACGAGATACTTTTCACCTTTAATAATTTTCAGACGGCGTTTTGGAGCGTGGCTGTCTCATGGACACCGATGATGACCTCTTCGATGAATGCTTGAGCTCTGGAAGCTCCAACTGCACCATTTGCAGCACGAATGGTTGCAACAACGAGATCTATCCCTCGGACTGGCTAGCCAGTCTGCGTTGCGATTCCGCCAACGATGCGGACTGTGCCCTGAGTCCCAATAGCTATTCGGGCCTATTCGAAGGACGATCCCTGTGTGACTTCCTTGACCAACGGTCGAACTCTTCGTGGCTGCCAATCGGAACTGAGTTGCGATGAATCCCAGGCGGGAAGCTGCAGGATTTGCTCTGGAGCCAACTGCAATGGTGTGGATCTGCAGTCGGGTTACGTGGGTGAGCCAGGAAAGTGGACGGATCTTCCATTGAGCTGTTATGTTTGTGAAGACGCCGCCAGTTGTGCCTCTGTCACGGAAGCCACCAAGTGTAAGGGTAACAACAAGCAGACCTGCTCCACGGTCTTCAATTCTGCGGGTCAGGTGGTGGCCAGAGGATGCACCACCGAAACTGATGAGCAGACTTGTCTGAATGATGCCAACTGCCTGTTGTGCTCACCTGGTGATATTAGGAACTGCAATGCTGCTAACATCTCCGAGAGCTCTAGTGTTGGAAATCGCTTCATTCGTTTCCTAAGATAACTGTTATATTGTAACTGGAATGAAAGTCAAATTTGTAAAATATCTAATAAATAAAATAACAAAATAAATGAATAAAAAGTGTATTTAAGCCCCGAATTAACTTTAACAAAAAAACTTTTGAGGTAATTTATCTCACTCTGATTAAAATGAAATAATATTGTTGTGTATGTCACTGGTTTTTTCTTATAACACTTTATCGGAATATAATCGCTAATATTTGAAGACTGATAGCGTTGAGAGGGGAAGCCTTAAAATTAGGAAATATTTCCTCCTTAGTTAGTTTATTTCTTATTATTATTATAAAAATCTTGTATAGATTAATGTTTGAAGTTTTTTAAAATGTATCAAGATATTTAACATTCAGTGTGATTCTCAATGAAGCGCATTGGTGAATCATCCGCAGTCTACATATAATACCGATGATGATCAAAAACAGCCTTCAATAGGAGTCTCTTCAAATTATCTTCAAGACATTTGATCTAATTCGTTGTCTAATCTAGGTAGATAACCGATTAAAAGCAAAAAATTCCATTAACGATGAAAACTTGATTATTTACTTTTGACTGAGATACTACATTAAAGAGTGCCATGGGGCTTAAGGAACCCCACAAAGAAAACAGAGTTGTTTATGCAATTTCTGAAGAGATGGAGGACAATCACTTAACGAGCTTACACACTTCAGTTGGCTATCTATAAAGAAATATCAGAAACATCCTCTTAAGTGACCAGAATTTATATAAAGCAATGGTTAGCTGGTGACAGCTTTTCAATGCTAAATGTTCTTTGCTCAATGTCAAACTTAAATTTCTCTGAACTCCTGCTGGCACTGCTTTTAACCAGCAGTTATGTATTGGCATCGGAAAAATGTATTTATTGTCGGGGTATGAGTTGCCAAAGGACTAGTTACGAGGCGGATGATCAGTGTTCGGATAAATTGGATGCCTGCGTGAGTGTTTTTAAAGATGGATTTATTCAGGCTCAAGGATGTTTGGAAGGTCTAGAGGATGATTTAAGAGAAAAATGTCAGGAGGATAATAAGGTACATGGAACTGACTGCGAGGTCTGTATAACGGAAAAGTGCAACAAGGTGGCTCCAAAAAAACACAGCTGTCTTCAGTGTAATAGCGCAGAGGTAGTTGTTCGAATAATAAAATATTAAACCAAAAACCTTATAATTTTAAAATAATATTTTTTCCCAAGGGCATTCAGTGTGCTGAAACTCCAGAGCTTCTGAAAGCTATAGAATGCCTTAATCCGAGATCTGGTAGAGGTTTTTGCTTTACCAGTTTGGTGGGAGATCGTTTGGAGAGGTGATGTTCTTTGACTCTTTCAGATCAAGTAAATTGCCTGGCCAATCCAAATTGTCACTTGTGCGATCCCTTGGAACAACCCCGCTGCAATGATCAACTTATAAAAGCAGATTCCTCAACCACTCAAGACCCAGCGGAATCCACTAGTTCATCAACTGAGTCTACACCTAGTTCAACAATAACAACAGAATCAACATCTAGTTCAACAACAAGTTCAACAACAAGTTCTTTAACAAGTTCATCCACAATTTTCTCCACAAGTTCTTCTACAAAATCTTCCACAAGTTCCTCAACAAAATCACCAGAAACTAATATTTACTCAATTGGCTTTTTGTGTTCACAACGTACTTCAATAATACAAATAATACCTAAAAAATTCCCACCACCTTGTCCGGAACGGAATCTATGTACGACTATTATTAAAGTAATTTTTATGACACGATCATAAATTATTTGTCACGAATAATTGCAACCTTTTGGGTTTAGTGCTTGGGCAAAAAATTCGGTGCGGGGTTTGTTATGTCACCGATTAAAGATTGATAAGCCACGATTAGATGTCGAAAATCGACCAGCCCACTGAAAAGCCTCCTTATATAATCATCACCAAATTTTTTAATAATGGTTTACAATCGTTAAGAAATTTATACTTTAAAACCAAAGTGATTTATATATTTTCCATTCTTAGTTATCTGAGATTTCTTATTTAGATTTAAGGTAGCTAAGGTTGGAGTGTTCCATTTTCGTAACAATATGAGCAATAAAGATATTCAATGAAAAAGACTTTAATATTGTTGAATCACTTTCGCTATGATTCACTTGAAGTATTTATTTATTTAGTTATTTCTACTCATTTAGGGTCGATTTTATGACATTATTAAATGCCTAGCCTAAAGTCCACTAGGGGCAATAAAAGTAAGCAATATGCGTGAAAAGATTAAGTTCTTATGAAAAGCCTTTAGCACTATCTGGGCCTTTCCAAACAGAACTATGTGATTTACAATCGCGCAATATTAAAGCGCCATCTGGTTGTTAGATTTTGTAACTATCGATTAACGAATAAGGCTATCGATTTTTGAAGCTTTAAGCCTTTTCTCCTTCGCAGATAGTTATCTGAGTGCAGGGGTGATAAGGAAGTACGACAAACTGAATGCAGCTGAAATGCAAAACGTTTTTGTTGGCAATGCGATTCGATGGCCTCCATTTGGCCGCTTTTTATGGCCGAGATCCTCTAATCAGTCAACAAATATTTCGGCTGTCCATCGGGGAAAATCTTATCGAGAGGTGTAAACGTGTTCACTACTCAGTTTTCGCCTGATTATGGTCGGCTTATCTGAATAGTTCTTGTTGCTTTTTATGTTAATTCCCCTCAATCGGCTATAAATAACGAAGCTTTATCGGCCATATAGCTATGGCAACAGCGCCTACAATATAATCGCCTTGGGCCCCTAATATAGAGCAATAATCAAACGAGCGCGATAGGACCCATCGATCGATCGATTGCCCCAAGCTTGTCGCCGGTCGAAAATCTATAAAAGGCCTTAATTCATCCAGCTAACAATTAGTTGCCGGAATCCATTTTTGTGGCTAATACGGAAATACGCGAGTCGCCGTTTTGAAGTGGACCTTAAACGATCATGAAATCAACGGCAGCAGGAGTAGCCCTGCTACTTCTAGTGCTAAGTCACTCAAGTGGTAGGTTTTGACCAAGTCAAGGATTAAGGATAATGAAAAGTGAAAGTGAAAGTTAACTAACTAACACCCCGAAAAGTGCGACAAATAACCAGAAAACATAGAAGATACTGAAAAATTCAATGAAAACTTCCCAAGTTATATAAATATTGCTGTGCGAGTATAAGCAAAAATGAAGGAAAGACTCTTAACGAAAAAGGGAACGACAATATGTTATTCATTAGTGAAACAATATAAAAAATATATTTGTTTCAAGTGTTGATATCAAAAAAAATGAACCATTTAATACTTTTAAAAAAGGAACGACAATATATTCTTCATTTCAAAAACAATATAAAAAATATATTTGTTTCAAGTGTAGATATGTAAAGAAAAAGAAATATTTAATACTTTAACACTTTATTACGTAAATGTAAAATAACCAACCAATCAAAAATACTACAGTTGAAAACGAAATTTAAACGTTCTTGGGAAAATCCATTGAACAACTAAGAACACAAATGTATAAAAGGAAGTTTGACCTATCTAATCTACCGATAGTACGAATCTCCTCGTGTTTTTCCCCATCGGACAAAGAACAAAATAATTGTATGTCCGTCAATCGCGCCGTCATTTATGACTCATACACATGCTTTTATATGGGCTATATGAAACCATTATCTATTATCAATAAAACAAAAAAGCACTTCACCATGAGACATAAGCGTGTAACTAATATTGATTGTAAGATGCGAGACATTTTCAAAGTACAAATTTGGTAATCATACTACTTTTCGTTTGAAAATCAAGTTGGGCAATTCCTGCAATCCTAATCAAAATTTTCAAGTGTCTTGGAAATCCTCCATACTTAATTTTTATGGATCAAGCCAACAATCAGATTAAAAGTGGATTTTGGACTTATCAACACGGAAACTACAAAAACCGTGGCCTTCATAGTTCTTGAGCGTGTACAACACATGGTGTATTCTGCGTGGTATATGCGAGTTATATCCTGCAGTATATTAAATGCAATGTTAAATACAAAATACATTTAAGGAATAAACCTCTCGAATATTCCAACTTTTCCTTTTCCCCTTGTCATTATACAATAACACGCTTCCTTATAGATTAAGTATGGCGATCGTCATTGAATTGGCCTTTTTATGGATCCCAAAGCAATTATTAATTTATTAGCTGATTACGGGAAAAGATCGCGTCAATGTGGTAACGGCAGCCATCGGACATCGGTAGTCATAAATAAGGCGAAATTCGATTACCCCACGGCCCATAAACTATTTTATAAGTAACAAGCCGCATATTGCCATTGATTGTAAATTAACCTACGTATTTTTCAACAAGAATTTTACTTGCCTTCGCGAATTAAATTAAATTATCATTCATTCAAAATTATAATATTATATATACATAAAATATTTATGTTGCACTTGCAGATGCCTTTATCCACAACTTGCATGATGGTCCGATCAACTGTTATGAGTGTTCCACCCTCGAAGAGTGCTCTGCTGGATCTGGAACCCTGAGAAAATGTCTGAATAACGATGCCCAAAGTTGTGTGGCCATATTCAACAGCAATGGAGCTGTGATCGAAAGAGGTTGCAGCGACAATTTAGAATCGGTTTGCACAGAAAGTGGGGATAACTGCTACGAGTGCCGATCGCACGGTTGTAACTCCCTGAAAACCACTGAGGATCTGCTCGAGTGCTATGTCTGCGATGCCCAGAACGATGATAATTGCGTTTTCGACGTCGAACTGGTGACTGAGAGGAGGAAGTGCAACCAAGGCTGTATTACGACTCTATATGCCACCAATAGCGAGGAGGGTGCCCCCTTGGAACTGGTTCGCACTTGTTTGGATGACCTCGACTTGGACGACAGGGAGGCTTGCATCGAAGGATCCCTGGATAACTGTGTGGCCTGCAGTTCGGCCAGCTGTAATTCCGTGGATTTGGGAGTACGAGGAAGTTGCAACAACTGCAAAGGAGATTGCAGTAGTCCCCAGTCGAAAACCTGTCGGGCTGTTCCCTCTGGAGGTGCAGCAGAGAGGTGCTTCATCGAGGTCGATGAATCCGGATCCATCTACGAGATGGGCTGCCTAAGTCAGTACAATGTCAGTGATGTCTCCCTCTTGGAAACCAACAAGCAATTGTGGTACTGCACTGGTGACAACTGCAATGTGGAATCTGCTCTGGCCAAGCCTCAAACATGCAAATTGTGCAGTTCCCGCACGGATGATGATTGTGCTGTGGCCCCAGAGGACGTGGAAACGAATACCCAATGCGATAGTCTCGTGAATACCGACTGCTATTCGAGGATCCTGGAGAATGGGCATACGGAGAGGGGCTGCTTGACCTCTCTGGAGGGTGAGGATTACTTCGATTGTCTCAAGGACAGCAATTCCACCAAGTGCCTCAGGTGCACAGGAGAGAACTGCAACCAGCAGGTGGGTTTAGTATTCCATCAGGAAGATTTGGATATCTATCACGTTACTCGTGGATTTTTCTAGAATTTTCTAGTAATTTTCATTTAATTATAAATCCATATGTTAGATAAACCTAATCGACCTTTATTCAAATATTATAATATTAAATATTGCCCTTACATATGTTCAAAATGCAAATATTTCTTTTTAATATCTCTATTTTCAATCAAAATGTATAATTTTAAACTTAATATTCCAGTTGCAACCCAGTGAGCGTTTGAGCTGTCAGATCTGCGATTCCAGTAAAGATGCCTCCTGCGAGGCCACGCCCTCCTCCGCCGCCCTCTGCCTGCTGCACACCGCCAATCAGCAGTGTATAACAACCATAGATCTCTCGGGGAATACCCAACGTGGATGCAGTGCCTCGTTGGAGTGCGACTCCAGCAGTCCCAGGAAGTGTCAGCTGTGCTCGGGAGCCGATTGTAATAGTGCGAACCTGAAGAGGGTGGAGGATGGTCAGCCGGGACTGTGGGGCCAGGAGTTGCCCTTGAGCTGCCAGAGTTGCACGGATGCCACCAGCTGTGCCGCCACTGATCTCTCCAATGTGACCTGCTCCAGCCAATCGGAGTATTGTGTGACCGTGTTCGGCGCTGATGGATCTGTTTCCGCTAAGGGCTGCAGCCAGGTGGTGGAGCAGTCCTGGAGTACTTATTGCAACGCCAATAGTGGCAGCTGCCATAACTGCAACTCCAATGGATGCAATAGTGCCAGATCCCTGGATAGCTACACCGAATGCATCTACTGCGACTACGAAAACGAAGATTGTGCCAGTAATGCCGCAAATGTCAAGTCCCGTCGTCTTTGCAATGGTCAATGTATGACCGCTTCTCGCAGGAGATCAAGTGAGAATTTCATCTTCGACACGGTTCGAGGTTGTTTGGATGATAAGGAGCCGGAGGATCAGGCATCCTGTATTGCCGGAACCGATGGAGCTTGTATAGCCTGCTCTGGAACCAACTGTAACGTTGATGAAATCACCGAGATCACTCAGACCTGTTGGAAATGCTCTGGATCGGATTGCGATGATCCTGTGTCAAGTCTCTGTAGCCAGTACAGTCCCGATGATAGTTGCTATATTTTGTTTAGCTATGACGCCGATATTAAGGCCATGGGCTGTAAGTCCGATCTGGACGAAGAGTTTGTGGATGATTATTTCCACTCTCTTTTTTTCTGCAACGAGAGTAATTGCAACTTCTTCGATAACCTGCCAGTTCCGCACAAGTGCCTCTTCTGCACTTCTTCAGAGGATCCCAACTGCGCTACAGATCCCTCAAAAATCGAGCTAATAGGAAACTGTGGTATCTTACCCTACTCCAGCTGTCAGACCCGAATCAGAAGTGAGTATAAGAAAGGGTATCCTTAAGTGAAAAATTGTAATTCTTTTAATCCCTCCCCAGATGGCAACACCCAACGTAGTTGTCTAAGCAGCTTAGAACGAGATGAGTTGGAGGAGTGCCTCGCTGGAACTGGAAGCTGTACGGTTTGCACTGGAGATTACTGCAACATGGACATATATCCCGCCGATCGTCGTCGTTGTCAGAGATGCAACTCCCTGACCGATCCCTCCTGCGCTTCAGCTCCCGACGCAGAAGAGGTGTGTCCTTATTATCTGGAAAACGAAGGATGTAGTGCCAAGTTGGTGGATGGTGTAACCTATCGTGGTTGCCAGCGGGAATTCACCTGTGACGACTCAGACAAACAGCACTGCCGCATGTGCTACAAGGATAACTGCAATGTGGCGGATCTCTCTAACTCATTCATTGGTTATCCTGGCAAGTGGTCCAGTGGGCCAGTCAATTGTTATTCTTGCAATGGCACCGAGTGCCAGGGGTCGAGTTCGGGCACTTTGCGCAAGTGTACTGGAAACGATGACCAAAACTGTGGGACAGTTTTTGATGCCTCTGGTTTGGTGGTCTTCCGAGGTTGCTCCGATTCCCTCTACGAGGATGAAGACCTTCTGCAATACTGCGATGAGAACTCAGGCAACTGCAAGTTCTGCAAGTCTTCGGGATGTAACACCGCCAAGGAACTAAGTGCATATGTGGACTGTCTGTTTTGTGATGGCAGCGATCAGGCAGAATGCGTGAGGAGTGTTGGAGATATATCCCGTACATTATCTTGCCATGGTAGCTGCTTCACCGGTCTATATCCCCGCAATAAGTCAGACTCAAATCCCGTTTACGATCTGGCTCGCGGTTGTTTGGATGAACTCGAGTACGACGATCGCGAGGCTTGCGCAGCCGGAACTTTGGCAAACTGTGTTTCCTGTTCGGGCGCCAGTTGCAATACTGCTGACGTGCCAGAGGATCGACTCAGCTGCAACGTCTGTCAGGATGCGGAGTGTGAAACGACTGTCAGCCAAGTTTGTTTGGGCTATCGTTCCGGAGAACAGTGCTACATTCAAGTGGGCGATCGCAGTGTCACGGCCATGGGTTGTGCCACCGATCTGGAGGATTCATACCTGTTGACCAACCGCAGGGATGTGTATCTTTGCTCCGGCAACGATTGCAACACCAAGGATAAACTGAACACGGTCGGTGTCTCCTGTAATATCTGTAATTCCACCTATGATGACGGTTGTGTGAGCACTGGTGGGTCCTCGCCAGCTGTCTGCCAGCATTACATCAATCCCGAGTGCTACACCTATTTGAATGAAGGTGGGTGCTTATAAGATTTAAATTGAATGTATTTATCCACCGATCTACTTTCTACCTTTAATAATTTTCAGATGGCGTTTTGGAGCGTGGCTGTCTCATGGACACCGATGATGACCTCTTCGATGAATGCTTGAGCTCTGGCAGCTCCAACTGCACCATTTGCAGCACGAATGGTTGCAACAACGAGATCTATCCTTCGGACTGGCTATCCTGTCTGCGTTGCGATTCCGCCAACGATGCGGACTGTGCCCTTAGCCCCTCTAGCTATTCCGGCTATTGCCGTACCTATTCGAAGGACGATGCCTGTGTGACGACTTTAACCAACGGTCGAACTCTTCGTGGCTGCCAATCGGAACTGAGTTGCGATGAATCCCAGGCGGGAAGCTGCAGAATTTGCTCTGGAGCCAATTGCAATGATGTGGATCTCCAGTCGGGTTACGTGGGTGAGCCAGGAAAGTGGACGGATCTTCCGTTAAGCTGCCATGTTTGTGATGATGCAGCCAGCTGTGCCTCTGTCACGGAAGCCACCAAGTGTGAGGGTAACAACAAGCAGACCTGCTCCACGGTCTTCAATTCTGCGGGTCAGGTGGTGGCCAGAGGATGCAGTGATGCTGTCCTGGCTGCCAATGCGGACTACTGCGATCTGAACAAGGAGAACTGTTTCCAGTGCAAGTCAGATGGTTGTAATAACGCCGCGTCCTTGGATTCCTATGTGGATTGCTACTTCTGCGATGCTGAGGTGGATGTGAACTGTGCCTGGGAGAAGCCTGAGGGTACCAGAAAGTGCCAGGGTCAGTGCATGACGGGATTGTACCCCCGAAGCTCCTCTTGGGACTCTGCCCTGCTGCCCACTCGCGGTTGTCTGGACGATCTGAACTTGGATGAACGCACTTCCTGCGCCGCGGGAACTCATGCCAACTGTACTGCTTGTACTGGATCCCTTTGCAATGGAGATGATGTGATTGCTAACCCACAGGAGTGCTATATCTGCAAGGATCCCGAGTGCGAGGACCTGGAAACAGCCAAGTGTGTGGCCTACAGGGAGCAGGATCAGTGCTACCTGGCCTACGATGAGTCTACTGTGGTGGCCATGGGCTGTGCCAGTGATTTTGAAACTCAGGTGATCCAGGAACTGGTGGCCCAGCAGCGATTGCTCCTTTGCTCCGGACAGAGGTGCAATGATTACACCATAACTCCCGATCCCCAAACTTGTCTGCACTGTACCTCTACAGATGATCCTCGCTGTGCCACCAATCCGAATCAGTTGCTTTCCACCGACATTTGCTCCAAGTTACCCTACACGGAGTGTGTGACCCAGATTGATTCGAACGGTAATACCATTCGAGGATGTCTATCCAGTTTGGGCGGAGGAGATTTCTACGAGTGTTTGACTGGAGATGGATCTCTGTGCGATACTTGCACTGGAGAACGTTGTAATGGATTGTCTGTATTCCCTGCTGATAGGAGGAAGTGCCTCCAGTGTGACTCCTCCAGCGATCCTAACTGTGCTTCCTCCCCAGCCAGCCTCACCAGCACTGTGTGTTCGATTTACTCGCAGGACGAGTCCTGTGTGACCACTTTACTAGACGGCATTACCTATAGGGGATGCAATTCTTCTCTGACCTGCTCCAATCCCTCGGACTCTTCAACTTGCCGCGTTTGCAGCTCCGGCGATGGTTGCAACACCATTAATCTGGACAGGATTAACGAAGATGGTCTGCCAGGAGCCTGGCAGGATGTTCCTATCGAGTGTCTGGAGTGCTCCGGCACGGAATGTGCTTCTGGAGGAGGTACCCTAACAAAGTGCTCCGGTTATGACAACTGTGTGACTGTATTTGGTGAAACTGGATCGGTTACCCAAAGAGGTTGCTCGGAACCGGTCTTCGGGGCCTCCACCTACTGCGATCTGAATCCGTCCTCTTGCCCGCGTTGTAATTCCAATGGCTGCAACTCTGCCGATTCCCAGGATAACTATGTGGAGTGTATCGTCTGCGATTCCAGCAAGGACTCGAACTGCCTGAGTAATCCAACCCAGATCACTAAGACTCGCCAGTGCAATGAGCGTTGTGTGTCGGCTTTCCTACCCCTCTTCAACGAAACTGAAGATCCCAGCTATGCCTTGATCCGTAATTGCTATGATGATCTAGAAAAGGAGGATCGGGATGCCTGTACCGCTGGAAGCAAGAGAATCTGTGCCACCTGTCAAGGAGCCAGGTGCAATTCGGAGGACCTGGTGGCCAGTCGGCAGAGCTGTCTGGTTTGCCAGGGTGATGAGTGCCAGAAACCGGAGGCTTCCAGTTGCTCGAATTACAGGGAGAACGATGAGTGCTACATTCAATTCGATGAGGAGAGATCTGTGTCTGCCCTGGGCTGCCTGAGTGAACTGAGCCATGAGGATATCTACCTACTGAAACGCTCCAAGAGATTGATTACCTGCAGCGATAACGACTGTAATACCATTGAATCCGTTCCAGAAGCCGAGAGATGCACTCTGTGTAGTTCGCGAACCGATGCCAATTGCGCCATAAGTCCCTCGACTGTCACCACCTCCACCAGTTGCGTCTTTGGTGGCTTCCCCGATTGCTATTCCAGGGTACTTTCCGATGGAAGCACCGAGAGGGGTTGTCTCTCCAGCCTGGAGGATGACGAGTTCCTCTCCTGCTACAATGGCACATCGACCTCCTGCAACTCCTGCCACGGAAGTACTTGTAACCAAGAGCTTTACCCAAGCAACCGACGATCCTGCCATGTCTGCAACTCCGACACGGACCCCAGTTGCGCATCCAATCCCTCAAGCCTCACTGTTTGCTATCTGTACGAAGCAGATGACACGTGTGTGACCAATTTGAGGAACGGAGTGACCTACAGGAGCTGCTCCTCCTCGCTCAGCTGCGAGGCGAATGCCAAGACCTGTGTCTACTGCGAAGGAGATGGTTGTAATCAGGTTGATTTGGAAGCCAAGTCGGATGATAACTACGGAAAGTGGCAGGATCTTCCTCTAGAGTGTTTGACCTGCGAGGGCACTGCTTGCCAGGGTGACGAGATTCCCTCTGTCAAGTGCCAGAACAACAACGAGCAGGATTGCTTGACTGTCTTTGGAACAGATGGAGCTGTCACCCGACGTGGCTGCCAGGATGAGGTGGAATCCGATTCGGCTATCGCCACCTACTGCGACTCCAATGTCGCCAGCTGTCCCTCTTGCAAGTCCAACAACTGCAACAATGCCACCGCTCTCAGTCAGTACACCACCTGTATCTACTGTGACTCCTACAAGAACTCCTCTTGCATTCTGGATCCCACGAGCTCTAGCCACAGGACACGTCAATGTCAAGGACAATGTATGACTGCTCTGTATGGAAGCACCGAGTCGGGTCTCGATCTCATTCGCACTTGTCTTGATGACAAGGAGCCGGCGGATCAATTGACCTGTGCCAGCGGCAGTGATTCCACCTGCTCCGCCTGCAGCGGTGACTCCTGCAATGTCCAGACTCTGCCCGAGGATCGCCTGAGTTGCTACACCTGCGAGGGCGACGAGTGCGAGGATCCTCAGCCCAAGACCTGTGCCATCTACAAGCCCGAGGACAGCTGCTTCCTGTGGGTGGACGAGGACAACGATCTGAAGCAACTCGGCTGCCTGAGCTCCTTCCGCAACCAGGATTTGGAGTCCATTATCAAGACGAAGCGCATCGCCGTCTGCAATGGCACCAACTGCAATGTACCCCAATTCCAGTCCCCCGTGCGATGTGCTGTATGTGATTCTCGCGTTGATCCCACCTGCGCCACCAATGCCCAGGCCGTGGGAGCTTTTGAAACCTGCAGCCAGTTGCCCCACACCGGATGTTTCACCAAGTTGGAGGACGGTAAGTACAGGATTGGGCTTAATGAAATGGTTAAAAAATATATTTACCACAGAAAAAAGACAAAATCAATGTTCTCTGTTGAAGAAAGCTAGGCTGTTCTTCAGATATTTATACTAAGCTATTTCTAACATATCTCTGTCATATCCCTTCCATCAGATGGTTCCACCAACCGTGGTTGCCTGTACGACCTCGGCCAGTCTGAATTCGCGGCCTGTCTGCTAGGAAACGATGCCAATTGTTCCGTGTGTTCCATTGATGGATGCAATCGCGAGGTAAGTTTATCGAACAAAACCCTATATAAACTTCTTAAAATATTGAATGCCTTCCCCCCTTTTTAGGTCTTCCCTGCTGATCGTCAAGTGTGCTATTCCTGCACCTCCGCCGATGATTCCAGTTGTGAGTCGGATCCCACGTACGCCTTGGCCTGTCCTTGGGTCAGTGAAACGGAGACCTGCAAGACCCTGCTTTCCGGAAATGTTACCACCCGTGCATGCAGCAGCTACTTGGAGTGCGATTCCAGTGACTTCCGCAATTGCCGCAGTTGCTCGGGAAGCGAGTGCAATGCCATCGATCTGGCCAACCGGGTTGATGATGGTCAGCATGGAGTGTACCAGGACTTGCCTTTGAAGTGTCACTCCTGCGTGGGTGAACATTGTCTGAGTTCCCTGGGACCGGCTGTAACCTGCACACTGAACAAGGATCAGGATTGTAAGGCCGTCTTCGAAGCGGATGGCGTCACGGTGAGGAGGAGGGGCTGCGCGGATGATGTGGATGACTACGAGGATCGCTACTGCCGGAAGAACCCCGCCCTGTGCTTCACCTGCAAGTCGAATGAGTGCAACGATGCCTGGTCCACGGAGGAGTTTGTCACCTGTACCTTCTGCAATTCGGCCAACAAATCCAGTTGTGTCCTGGATCCCTCAGAGTCGGACTTGAGCAAGCGCAGCTGCAAGGGTCAGTGCTTGGTGGCCTTGAATGGCGAGGATTTGATTCGATCCTGTGTGGATGACAAGGAGTTGTACGATCGTTCTGACTGTACTACGGACGGAAGTGGCACCAATTGTGCCACCTGCTCTGGAACGGACTGTAATACCTTCTCGTATCCCTCGGATCGTCTGAGTTGCCACACCTGTGCGGATGCCAGCTGTTCGAGCAGCCAGTCCCAGGCTTGTTTGGCCTACAGAGCGGATGACTACTGTTTCGCCAAGTATTCCAGGGATGGTGGCTTGGAACTGATGGGTTGTGCCAGTAGCCAAAACAGCTCTAGTCTGGAGGAATGGCAGGAGGGCAATCAACTGTACTCCTGCCAGGGCAGCGAGTGCAATGAACTCAGTAGACTTCCTGGAGAAGGAGAGTGCCTGGCCTGTGACTCCAGCAGATCCCTGGAGTGCGCCCAGGATCCCACGAGTGTGGAGGGAACCATCACCTGTCATGCCCCCAATTCCGAGTGTATCACCCGCCTGGAGGATGGTCACACCATCCGAGGATGCAGGAGTGCCCTGAGCACCTCCGAGAGCAGCAGTTGTGTGGCCAGTGGCACCTGTTCCGCCTGCTCCGGCGCCAAGTGCAACTCCGAGATCTTCCCCAACAACCGACGACGCTGCCACATCTGCAACTCCACCGCAGATCCGAATTGCGCCAAGCAACCCAACAGTTTGGCCGTGTGCCCCATTTATGCCGCAAACGATGGATGTGTCACCTCCTACAATGATGGACTTCTTCGACGAGGATGTGCCTCCGAGCTGGAGTGCGAGATCGACAACGAGGATCACTGCAACAAGTGCTCCACGGATGGCTGCAACACCGTTGAACTCACAGGATCGGCGGGAGGACTTTCTGGAATTGGCCTCGGTCTCACCATCCTCGTCGCCTATCTGATCAGCTCCACTCAGCGACTGTAGGGTAGAGATCTAGACTATCCAATCTTCTAGTTCCATTTCCTCCACCTAGTTAAGTAGATTTATATAGAGTAGAGCTTATGTAATTAGATTGCTGTGCTGAGGGCAATGGACCTTTTTGGACTTTTCGCACGATCTACAAACGATTTGTAAATAAACCAAACGAATTTTCGAACCAACTTAGAGAGTTTTCACTTTGAGATTTGCGCATTTTCTTTTCTTTGCAGAGTGACACTCAGAAAAAATACTACCTTATTAAATTTTTAAAATCTAAATGAATTATTATGTCTCAAAATACCTAATCGAGACAACATTCATCTCTATTATAAGAGTGGTCGTCTTGACTTCACGAACGTTTCTTCTGGAACGATTGAGAGGAGGTATTGTCCAAAAATATAACATAATGTCTAAGTATTTGGCACCCTTAAACCAATAACATTTTTAGATTCCCTTATTCAGTGTTTCTTGAATACTTTATAAATAAAATATACAACTTTTTCGTCAGTTTAAATGCCTGTCCACACTTGGCTGTTCTGTTTTGGAAGCCTTAACGCCTGTCTAGCTTCGAACTCCTTCAGTTTCTACACCTTTTCTCCGCTGAAATATGCCAGACAGATTTTCCCCTTTTCCGACCCACTATTTCCACGTCAATTTTTCGCTCGAGTAAAGTTGAAAAGTGAAATTGCCTTGCCTCCCGAGAAAACCTAAAAACAATGGAAGGGAAAAAGTTGCCAAGAAATTGCGAAACGCAGCCATTGGAAATAAAATGCAAATGCAGAAGGCGATGCGTTGTGCGTTTTGCTTTAGTGGAGTTTAAAGCAAATTGAAATTTTCCTGGCATAACAAAGAAACGCACAACTTAATCCCTGACTCCTGCTGGAAAATAGAGATTTGTAGTCCAAAAATTGCCATCAAGATTGGGGACCCAATGAAAAGACAACTTTCTGTGGCGAAAAAAGTGGCCAAAGACCATTTGATTTGCTTTTAATTGCCGGCTTTTTGGTCAGGCCAGCGATAAGCAATTGCGTTTTAGATTTATAGCGAGCAATTAAGTGGTTGACAACGATTTAATGGCAAATTACACAATAACCACAAGACATGTAGGCGGTCTCTGAAAAGATTGGAAACGAGAGCGGAAAGTGGAGGGAGCCATGAGTAATGCGAAATAAATGAACTTATTGATGGCTCAGTTGGTTGGTTTTATTTCTTGACGACTTAAAGATTTGCCTCAAGCTGTTACTGACTTTCACTCTTACTAATAAAAATTAAAGGCTTTCGGTTTTTCTAGAATCTTGTTGAGATTTTGTAAGGGTTCTAAAAACGTTTGAACTAATAAATTTGTTTTAAATATTGGTTTACAATTTTTATTTAAGTTTTTACTTTTAATGTTCTTATAAACAGTAGAGCTTTCATTATTAAACATTTTTGGTTGAACAAAAATATATAACTGAATAATGAATCAATAAAGTTGAACCTTTTTTCAAAATCTTTGTATCACATCCATTAATATTTTTGGGTGAATAATGTTTAAGTTTCCTACCCCTCCAAAATCATCTTACAATTTCGTAACATTTTCCATTTATACACTTTAAGATCGTGACTATCGTTTGAATTATCACAGCTCCCAGGGCCAAAAGTCCGAGGTGAATTTATTGATTACACGTATTCATCGATCACTTTGTAAAGTCGACAACCTGTTGTTTTTTATTTAGCTATCGCCTTGCAGCTGTCACAACAAACTGCCCGTTAACCCAAACTGCAAGTTGACCAATTTATTTCGCCGCGTTTATCACGTCGCCTAACTCGGCTTTCCCGCGTTTTCCCCTCCGTTGCCAACTTGGCTTCGCTGACAGGGACAGCCGCTTTGAAAATCTATTAGTTTTCCAACTGGCGGACAACAAGGAAAATGCCAGCAACATGGAAAATGCACGAAGCCAGTTTTCAGCGCCAGAGCAAACAAAATTTAATAAACCGCGTGCCGGCTTCCAGTTCGCTGTGAGTTATGTGCCACAAAATAAATTATTTTCGGTTTTGTCATTTGGTTAAAATGTTTGAGCGCCAGGCCAATGGAAAATTAATTGCAGCCCTGCTTCGTGGTGGGTGTCCAATGGGATTATTTCGTTTCAGGGAGATAAGGAAATAAGAAAAAAGGTTGAATAAAAGTAAACAAAGGAAATATTCATTTTACACATGGAAATTAACTTAAACACGGAATACGATTTTTATATAAAATGTCAAGTATTCCTATTATTAAATAGTTGGGAACCTTTTACTTTACATAAGAATACATTAAATTAATTTTTAGTACAAATGTGGAAGGAAATATATTTAATCATCCAATCCTAATCAATTAATTTTTATTAAATTATAAAGCTTTAAAACTCCTCTAAAATTATCCCAAGAATTAAAATAAGAATACAAAGGACTGTTTTGGGTTGGCATTTAATTGAGACAGAGAGTGTTGTAAAAAATAAATTACAAATATTTTTAATTATTTCAGTAACAGATTTTCTTGGATCTGTGAACTGCTGACTTTGAGCACTATCTCCCCTTTGATTTTTCAAGGGAATTCAATTAATTTCCGCACCGACTCGTTTCTGCCCCAACTGTCACTTCAATTTACTTCAGGAGATTGCAGCATATGTGGCAGAAACGGAGGACAAGACACATGAAAGTAGACAGTGCAACATTCGGGGATCCCACTCGTCATCTTCGCCGTTTCTGGATGTCAGAGGTGCGTACGTGTCTCTGCGTTTTATTAGGTTTCGATGGACTCGCATCGTGTCCGAAGGAAATTAAAATACTTCAAGCGGCAAATTCAATTTAATTTTAGCAGCAAGTATAGGAAATGTAACGGTAAGAATATTAAATAAAGCCAGAATTAAAGAAGGGGTAATATCTTGTTGACTTGATAAATAATAATTATTATAAGTATAAGCAAAAGAACTATTTGGTAAATTATAAGAAATCAATAAAGCATTTTTAAAGTCACATAAAATAATAAACCTCCAACTAAAGCAACATCTGCCATTTAAACCAAATCCAGACAATTGAATTCGTTCTGCCACAATACACAAATAGAGATAGATATTCGCATGCGAGATTATTTTTTTATAGGGCCGCGCCGCGGCATTATTTAAATTGAATTTTTACAAAATTAAGTTGATTGTGCTACAAGGGAAGGGAAACCGAGTGCAAATTTATATTCTAGGTTGGTCTCCGGGCTTATGCGATATTTATTTATGGCCGCCAACTTGTTTGTTGTCCCTACGCCCGATTTCCCTCTCCGAACAGCGCCTTTCCTCCATTTTCCGCGGGTTCCCTAACAGCATCGGGCTTATATTTTATTTATTTTCCTACGGAAACAATTGAACAATTGATTCGCGTGCATACGAATTTGTTACAGGGATTTAAGTTGAATGATTTATGGTTACGTGGATTCGTTACACTTTTTGCAATTTCTTTCTAAAGAGGCTGCATTTAAAAATTAAATTATTGTGTGAATTTTATTTATTTAATCCATTGTTACTGTTGACTTTTATCTCTTTCGTAGTGTTATCCCAGAAATATCACATTTAAAATTAATTATTGTGTTAGGGCTTAAAACGTAGAAAGTTCTACATTCTATTAGAATTATATTCTTTAAAACCATGGTAATATCCTTTGTTTCTCATTGACTGCTATCTTTTTCGGTTCATTGACTGAAACAAATCACGCATACGTAGTGTTATCCAACAAATGTCACCAATTTACATTGCACTTGGCAAACGTTTAACAATTTTTGGCGCATCGCGTCTATTTGGCACCATTTGGTCAGCGCCAAAAAGGAGCAGAAATGAATAAAAACGAGAGGGACAGGCCACTTTTAATAAAATGGTGCTATAAAATACCCTTGAATAACAGAGGTTCCATTTGGTTATAGAAAAACTATCTTACAAAATTATACTAAGATTTATAGGGTGTTTTATATAGATCTTCATTTTAAATACTCTTTACTTTTGTGAGATTTCTTGGGAACAGTTAATGTTATATATTCTCAGTTAACATTTGGTAAAATATGTTATATTATTATAGGTCTTTTATATCTAATAAAACACGAAAAGCAAAAGCCTGAATACCTTTTGCTACCCTCTGAAAAAATGTAGAAAAATGCTTAAAATATATACAAATAAATTAAGCAATCACATGCAATAAAAACGGACGCAACGCAATGCGGAGTGGAATTTTGTGTGGCGCCGACCAGGGTTGCCAGGCGCCACAGCGACGGGGCCAACAACCCTGGCGCATCATCGTTTTCCATTAAATCCGCTTCCTTTGCTCCTTTTTTTTTGGCGAGAGTTAGATAAATGTAAATAGGAAATGGAATGCATGACTTGCGCTAAAGAAATTGTCTACATTTTTTGCAACTCCATTTTTTCCGAATGGTGACCCGGTCAATGGTGCAGATATATAATACATTTCAACAAAGGAGGTTTGGGAAGAGGTGTGAAAAATTGTGTTAGTTGGACAGGCGACCCCGGGGAGTCATTCCTTTCTTTTTTGGTATTTCTTTAATAGCTTAAAGGAGAAGGCCTATTGTCACGTAAACTGTTCCAGCTTGAGGGAATGCCTTTACTGTAGCCTTTCTCTCTAATAAATGCCATTGCACCTGAGCAGAAGGACATGTAATGCATTTGGATGGCCGCTTAATTAACCAGCACGTACTCCTGACCCCCAAATGGTGTCAGCTGCTGCAAATATTTGGCATGTGGCGCCAACTCTGCATTCCACTTAATTAGCATTTCTCATATAGAAATACCTATTTATGCACAGAGAAAAAACAGCGACCATTTCTATTTATTAGATTAGAATTTCCCAGTAATTACTTTTCTACATATTATGTGATGTGATTAAATTTGCTTAAGGGACTTGCTGTTTTTACATCTAACACAAATATAATATATTAGGTTATAATCCATTATTAAATAAATATTGATAAATGTTTAATGTTTGTAGTACTAAAGGCATTTATCAGTAATTGCTGTGTAATGTAATCATATTTTAATTTCTGCCTAATTATTTCTCTGAGCGTACTTATAATTTAATGAAATGCAAAACACGCTCCACTCTCAGTTTAGTGCAACCGTTTAGTTCCTAGTTTATGTTGGCAAATGATAAAGTAAATGGCAAGCTTTTACAT